CAATCTTATTTCTGTTATGTAACTGTTAAATAATTTAAATGAGTCAGAATTTATATTATACTTATTACTACTTTTGAAGAAAAACATTTAAATAGGATAAATATGCAGCTGTAACTTTTCTTATAGGATAGGGTGACAAACGAGCACACAGTCCACCTGATTGTAAAAGTGGTTGATAGACCATAGACATGTACACCTATCCTCAATAAAGAATCAAAATGCAAATGCGTTGTCACCCGTGAGCTCAGATGCAATGCCTCTTTTCCAGTAAAAAGGGTCTCCGGTTTCCTACACTCATCATACGAAACAGCTATTTTACGCTGGTATTCTGTGAGGGCGTGGTCCTTCCCCGGTCGAGTCGATCCATTCGTGCTACAACTATACTACAGCATGGCTCTACCACGTACTACTAAGTTTGTTCTCAAATTGGTCAGGGTGTTAGAGAGATGTAAAAACTTCAAATGTAAACTCACTTTCACGCTGTGTTTGGTGAAAATTAATGAACAAGGCCGTGGTGACAGATAAAATGGCGGTATATTTATTCGAAAATGCCATACCAAAATCCCACAGACAGCCTGCTCAGCGTGGTCAATATGTACAAATATTTTAAGTTACGCACGTTATTTAGCACATTTTTTGAAAGCAGCCATAGTTAAAGTAATATGTTAGAGAAGAAGAAGAACTGGGCCCAGACTTCCTAAAAGTTTCTTATAAAAGTTTAGCGGATTCATTCTTATCTAGGATTAAGTAATCTACGATAAGAAGTGTGAAAGAGGCGCAGAGCTATACAGTAAAATTTTTGTGTAAAAATATTTAAACGCTTGAATAGACTTCTGAACACAAACCCAAGCGTACCATAACAAATCATTATAAGCCCAAAGTTTTTCTGCATGTTCTTGTTCGTATTCTTTAATTAACTTCGCAATAAAAAAAATCAAGGTATTATGTTAAAGATTTTTCTAAATACTTCAAAAGCCTATTTTTAAATTTTAAAAACCAGTAGTGCTCTTAATACTCTTGATATACATTAACCACACCAAATAATATAATATGCTTGTGCACAAGGATTGTTTCACGACAGTTGTCGAATTCAGATTCGAAATCATTTCTTCCATACAACCCTTTTCCGCAAAGAACTATTGTTTACAGTGCATTCGATTAGGAGATTATTGGACACCTTGTACGAATACATATGTAAATTAACTAAATATAAAGAATAAACTAATTATAAAGAATAATTTTGAAAAATAATTAATTTAAATACTAGGTAATTCCTATTAAGGTTACTATTTTTTTTTCACATAACACGAAAGTTATATTAAGTAAGCAAGATTTAATTTAAAACTGTAATTAAAATAAATAAATAAAACTAGTAACTTAATTATCATACAGTCCTACTCCCGGGGGATCGTGCCAAGAACTCTGGCTGCGTTATTATATTATATTTTATTGTATTATATTTTATATATATTTGTATCACAAATAAAATTTTGTTAGTCTTAAGATATATGTCTGTTAATTATAATGTAATGCTAAAGTACAGACGGAAAACCACTTGTGGATTGCTTTGAAATTATTTATTCGGGATGTGCAAAGTTTATACTTTGCACATCCCGAATAAATAATTGCAATAATATCATATGCATATCGGTTTCCTGCATTTATTTATTTTTGATGGCGTAATCACGGTTGTATTGGATTTCCGCTTGTTTACTCTGAGCGCCAATTAGCGGATACCTTTGAAGTTCGTTTAAATGAATCTGATGAAATAAATTGAGCTGTCAAGAGTTTGTGCAATTCGATTTCAAATGCATTAAAGAATGTTTATTTATTTAACGGCAACACACGAGCTATCTTTGTTTGCGAAATTGATATTGCTATATTAAAATATAATGTTAAAACATCATATTATTATCTCCCATTGAATTGAAAGATTTTGTAATAATTGGCAAGCTTGATAGGCGAAATTTTCTGACATAATATTAACAATATCAAAAGCTTCGTGCTGGTCATCAGTTTCAATAATTCAGGTGAAATATTTTTTGAGAAGTGGTGACTTACGGATCTGAGACGTGATCCTTCTCTGCTGGCCGTATGAGGAAGCTCAGGGTCGCTCAGCGAGCTATGGAGAGGGCTATGCTCGGAATTTCTCTGCGTGATAAACTTAGAAATGAGAATATCCGCAGTAGAACCAGAGTGACCGACGTAGCCCAACGGATTAGTAAGCTGAAGTGGCAGTGGTACCGACCATATAGCTCGAAGAACCGACAACCGATGGGGAAGAAAGGTTCTTGAGTGGCAGCCTCGTACCGGTAGGCGAAGTGTAGAGCGACCCCCCACGAGATGGAGTGACGACCTGGTAAGACATGCAGGAAGTCGATGGATGCAGGTGGCTCAGGACCGTGTTTTGTGGCATTCCTTGGGGGAGGCCTATGTTCAGCAGTGGACTTATGAAAGGCTGTAATGATGACGATGATGATGATTTTTTGAGATGATTATTTTGTTTTGATGGTTTGGCTAAAGTGAATTATTTGCTTTCGTACTGTTATAAACACAGCAAGCACTCATATATTTGATTAGACTTTTTCTAGCACGAGTTCATAAGAAAATACATATATTTAGGCTACTTGATTTTTTGCTGCTAAAAGCCCGTATTATATAATAAGGGATAGGTTTTTGAGTCCTTTGATACTCTTAGGATAGAATACAACATAACCAAATTAAATTTACAGTTGTATGAATAAAAAAGTTCAATTGTTTCACTTTTATATTCCGTCAGGTTATAATTTATTCAATGAGTAACTTTTATTTGACGATTGAAATATCAGCTCTTACTGTATTAGTGGCGTTTGTATGTAATTGTACAATAAATAACGTACTAAAAATTTTAACGTTGTACATAGCATAGCAGCATAATACCGTTGTATTTCGTATAATAAGTGATGAGAACCGGAATGCGGACACCCTATTTACCGGTAACGAGGCCTTCCATCTTAGTCCTCAGGGGTGAAAGCGTATTTCATTCTTAATTGAGGACAGATGTAGTCTACACAGCCACAGCTTACCATATTCATAAAAAAAGGATTACTACCACTGACTATTGCGTCTCTAAGGACAAATAATTAAATGTAATACTAATTTTACGATCAGTTTAGACAGGTCTTAATCAAGCAAAAGGAAATAATACTCGTAAATATCGTGTATATGTAGCAATACTGTATTTTACGTGGTTGAGCCACGCCGCAGGTGTATCATGACTGTAGCATGAATTGGTCTATTCAACCTGGTATGGGCTACGCTATCACGGAATACCAGCGTTCAGTAGTAGTTGCTGTGTATCATATGGTCAATAATGATAACTGAACTTGTCACTGGATTTTAATCAACATCTTACAGGATTTAAATCAAGACTTTTAGTTCCTCAGGGCTCCTCAACAATCCAACAGCACTTTGATTCTTAGTCTATAGATTGGTGGCTGGATGGGTATTTATAGACCACAGCATCTATTTAACTCGAGGTGGGCGCTGTCCTCGTTTTCACCCTGACTTGTATAAAATAATTATTAACCTAAGTCAGTCCAAAACCTTCTTCAGATTTTACTAATTATTTAAGAGATATTTGCTTATGCTTCTTGTTTTGTTTGCTCTGTTGAGTATTTAAAAATGAGAAGAAATATTAGTTTGTCTGTCTGTCTGTTTGTCTGTGTGTCTGTCTGTCTTTCTGTCTGTCTGTCTGTCGTTATGGGTGGAATCTTGCATCTAAAATTTCGAGTACTTCTCGATTATTCCCGAACCTAGACTTGAAATTTTGAGCATAGCTCAGAATCGGATGACAATGTAGGAATATGAAAGAAAACGTGGTATAATAATATTTTTAGTAGAAAATTAAAAAATGGTGATAATAGAGCACTACAACTCCGTTTCGCGTTCGATGTTGTTCGATACAGAAATTCACTTTGTTTCATATGCATATCAATTTTCATAGCAATCGAATAAATTATTCCAAATTTTTCCTCTAGGTGTTTGTTCCCTGTCGTATGTTGATAGAGTTAATAAAACTATCACCCCATCTAGTTTCATAACCGACAGAATTCTAGAAGAACAAAAAAGAAAAGACAAAAAACCATCTGGAAACAGTAAGTCAACAGATGCGTGACAGATATCAGGGATTAACATATTTTGCGCGAGTTGTTTGGCTAGCGGGTACCGCCAACTGTCTTCTCAAGTTAGCTGTAACCCATGTTCATGTCATGTACCAATATTACCAACTATCTTATATATTGGATAAGAAGGTTGAACAATTATCTTAAATATTAAGTAGGTATAAACAATTTTAAATTCTGTTTTCTGAAGTTTTAAAATCAATTTCTTCTGTGCATTTAATGACCTAGAGATACCACCGTCACATGTCACCGCCGCGCTAGTCGCCACCATAATTATTTTGTCGCGCGAGAGTTTTTATATAAAATGGTTATTGTAAGTTATCTTCAGAAGATAGACATATCCTCTCGCGGACTTTTTTGTAAAACTTTCCAAGAGGAACAATTCAGCCACACATTATTTTTGTGCAACTTTAACTATTGACTTAGCGCACGCCGTGTAAGCTCTCAAGAGGCACGACTTTCTCCAACTTAGTTGACGAATATCATCATAACTTTTAGCCATAATATAAATATACACATAATATATGTCTGTCTGAAATAATGTACCTTTCAAACGAGATTTGAAACCTTACTTTTCAAAAAACAAAACTTGTACAAAAATCGATTTCCCCTTTTCTTCACGTGGGTCTCGTAAGAGGCGAATATGGTAAAGGTCATAAAAACATCATAACTCGATAGCTGGTCGAATAGACCAGATATGAAAACCAAGAACAGTGACGGGGAGCAACATTAAAGCTATGAGAGATCTGGTACTACGGTGGGCAATTACGGCATGTCGTTTACACAATGGTAGAGACCTATTTCTAGCCGGGTTGCGAAGAAGAGGATGGCACTTACCATAACTGAAAAACAGCTGATGGAACTGTGTAGCGAATGAAGTGAAGAGGCAGCCAAGGGCAGCTACCAAACCTCCCACAACGGCAGTGACGCGCGTCGACTTGCGTACGCAGAGCGCTACCGTCACTGGAGACAGAGCTAGGGCGACCCCCACCGATAGGGCGCCTAGGCAACCTGGAAAGAGATATATTATTAAATAAATGAGGAAGAGGAAGAATACCCCAGTGTTCTCGGCAGTATCCTCGGAAATGTATTATAGAAAGTTTAGTTTTAAAAAATTTACGATTTTAAATAGTAGCTGTGGCATCTAGGCAGAAGAGAAGTCGTTTTAGGAGTCCGTGGGTGTAGGTATCTCCTTTTTACCCATTTCTACCGCCAAATAGCAGAGCATGCACTGCTGTATTCCAGTCTGAAGTGCCAGTAAAGTTTAGAGACAAAGCATCCTTTTTTGTAAAAGTGGTTGCAGATATCCATGGGCTACAGATTAGTCACTGACAAACAGGTAGGCAGTAAGTTCGTTCATTCGTCGTCACTTCAGTTTCGTGAAAAACAAAGTTAACTGACGTTGAATGTCACTTACCGTAAAATTTCTGCTTCCATAACAATAAGAGATTTTTTCTCTTCTCCGAACCTTTCCTAGGAATAACGGATTTAACCCAAATATACGACAAAAATATTATAAGAATTTTAATCGGTTATTTATTATTAAATTAAAAAAAATCGTATTTATGACGAAAATATAATTGAATAAAGAAGACATTATAAATATATTTATGTATTTTAAGCCGTTACATTAAAATTCAATGATCTAAATTAAACGCATTTGCAAGTAAATTTATCACGGCATAAATGCATAGCGGAATGCAGTGTTTCCGAAACGCATATCACATGTGGATGACTTTACTTTATACTGAGGTGCTCTTATGAGTCTGTCGAGCAAAGATGATACAATCGACAAAATTATAACAGCTATATTCTTAACAAAATGTAAGTTACACATACCTAAACAACGCGGCGACCGGCGAAACACTCATTTTATAATTTTGAAATAGATTTTATTATTACATTATAATATACTGTTAACATTGTAATAATAACATTAACAAATAGTACTAATTTTATTGGCCACAATTTATTTGAAAAATTAAATGATTTAAAGTTCAAATTAATCGGAAAACTTTGCCATTTATCGCGTACACACTTTTAGTAAATGTTATTTAAGTTGTCTTATGATGGCAGATCAAGAGAATCCAATTACTGCTTCTCGTGGGTGGTTGAGACTATGAGAAATGTCAAAAAAATCTCATGGCTTTCGAAAGATGGTAATATTAAATGTGTTAAATATAAAATATTCAGATCAGCGACGTGGAGTATTTTCCATGGCGCGAGGTACCTACCCTGCTACTGCGAATGTCAACCCGTCTGCCATGCGTCGCTAGTAGGATGGGGAGGCCTATGTTCAACACGGTTACGGATTGATAAAGACAGAAGAAAAGAAGTAATACGACATGATGTACATATGTGTGACAAAGTATTTTATACAAAGTTTAATATATTTTATCTTTTGGTACTAGTTCCTTTAGTTATGTGTAGTGTGTATAATGTATATTAAAAACTACTGCAATGCAATTATGTTTGAAGTATATGGTACAATTATTTTTGTTAAGGTCTTGTATAGAAAAACGAGTTGAATGTAAATTCAAGAAAAACAACTTCCTATCTCTCCGAGCTACTACCTCAAGGTATCCACATACCAAATTTAAAGTCAATCGGTCCAGTGGAACGGAAGTTATCGTGTTGGCATACAGACTAACAGACTGCCAGCTAAAACCATTAACTTCCTTTCTATGCTACGCAGAAGGAAGTTAATAAAACCGGCCAGGTGCGAGTCGGACTCGCGCACCGAGGGTTCCGAACAAATCCGTAGGTATATATTTTTTTTATAGGAGAGGGGGCAAACGAGCTGCGGCTCACCTGATGGAAAGTGACTACCGCCGCCCATGAACAACTGCAACACCAGGGGAATCGCAGATTGGTTGCCGGCCTTTTAAAAAGGAGTAGGCTTTTTTCTTGAAGGTCCCTAAGTCGTGTCGGTCCGGAAAAATCGCTGGTGGTAATCGATTCCACAGGGAAGTTGTGCGAGGAAGAAGACTTCTTCTAAATCGCACAGTTGTGGACCGCCAATCATCCAGATGGTATGGATGGTATCGCGAGTTTTGTCGCGATGTGCGATGGTGAAATTGGGTGGCTGGAATTAGTCCGAACAATTCCTCAGAGCACTCCCCGTGATAGAAGCGATAAAATACGCAAAGAGATGCAACATCTCTACGCAGTGATAATGAGTCAAGCCGCTCGGAAAGAATTCGGTCGTCGACGATTCCAACCGCTCTGCGCTGGATGCGGTCAAGTAGAAGGAGCTGGCACTGGGGAGCCCCTGCCCAGAGATGGGAACAGTATTCCATGTGGGGCAGAACCTGCGCCTTGTAAAATTGCAAGCGGTGTACCGGCATGAAATACTGTCCCGCTCTGCTGAGCACGCCAAGCTTTTTAGAGGCCAATTTGGCTTCCAAGTGACCACGAAACTGCACGTCACTCGATATGTCGACACCAAGGATCCCGATACTGTCTGAGGCAACAAGGGGAGTGCCTTGAAACTGAGGAGATACGACAAAGGGGTTCTTTTTAGCGGTAAACGCGAAAACTTGTGTCTTCTGGGGATTGAACTGGACTAGATTTAGTCGACCCCAGTCAGAGACTTTGTTCAACAAAGTCTCGACTTCAGACACAAGTTTGTTCCGGTACTCGGCGACGTTTTCCCGAGAAATATCGGCACGGCCGGTGTATAAAGCATCACCAGTGCTGTCGTCCGCATAGCAATGAATGTTACTGGTTTGCAACATACAATTGATATGCAGAAGAAACAGCGTTGGTGATAGCACGCAGCCTTGTGGAACACCAGCGTTAATGGGCTTGTCATCGGAGCATGCACCGTCTACTACGACCTTGATGCTCCGATCTGCAAGAAAACTGGTGATCCAATTGCACAATTTCTCGGGAAGCCCATAGGAAGGGAGCTTCGAAAGAAGCGCTTTGTGCCAAACCCGATCTAAGGCCTTCGCTATGTCCAAACTAACGGCCAACGCCTCCCCCTTGGACTCCACTGCCTTCGCCCATCTATGAGTTAGGTAACCTAAAAGATCACCAGCTGAGCGACCTCGACGAAAACCGTACTGGCGGTCACTAATCAGCTGGTAATGCTCAAGGTACCGCATGAGCTGGCTGTTAATCATTGTTTCCATTACTTTGAAGAACAAGGAGGTGATAGCGATAGGCCTGTAGTTGGACGGATCTGAGCGGTCGCCTTTTTTAGGGATCGGGTGCACCAAAGTTGTCTTCCATGAGTTCGGGACTTCGCTAATGGAGTAGGAGTACCGGAAAAGACGAGTTAAAACCGGTGCCAACTCCGGAGCACACGTTTTCAGCACAATAGGTGGGACTCCATCAGGCCCATTCGACTTGTTGACGTCCAGGGAGAGAAGTGCTTTACGCACCGAGCGCTGTGTAAACAGCACTTCCGGCATGGAGCACTCACACCGCGGGATGGTCGGCGGTGTGTTCCCCCCGTCATCTAGAGTCGAGTTGGAAGCAAAAAGAGAGCCTAGCAGATCGGCTTTCTCTTTTGCGTCATGGGCCAGTGTGCCGTTCGCCCAGTGCAGAGATGGCAGATATAGCTGACAGAAGTTCCCTTGGACAACCTTAGCGAGAGACCAGAATGCACGTGTTCCCGAAGGGAGGCGAACTAGTTTCTCGCCAATTCTGCCGATGCGCTCTGACTTTGCCTTGGCAATGACACTTTTGAAGGACCTGGAGGCGGAATTATACTTCTATTTAAGAGCGCTGGTATTTACATCCCGGGACGTTGATGCGTCGGTCTAGGTTCGGTAGCACTCCTGCTTATAGCGTGATGTAATTTTGTAGGAGTGACCAAACCATGGCTGATTTCTGCCTCTGATAGGCACCACAGATGATGGAATAAATAATTCCATTCCCTAAAGTACCACTTCAGCAACAGAATCAGCAACAACGTTGGGATCATCCGGCGCGAAGCAAACCCGCCCCCAATGGTAGGATGCAAAAAAAGACCGCATCCCGTCCCAATCGGCCGACCTAGTGCCAAATACAGCGGCAAGCTGCAGATCGCAATTGCGATTGGAGCGTGAGTGGCACCGTAATCCGGATCAGACAAAGCCCAGACGGAGACCTGATATCCGTCCGGATGAGAGGTCAGCAGAAGGTCCAACAGGGAAGGTACACGATCCTCCACATCTGGGATCCGCGTAGGCGAAGTAACCAGTTGTGTCAGACCATATGCCAAGGCAAAGTCATAAACAGATCTCCCCGCATGATCGGTTAAGCGTGAACCGAGCCATTCGGCGTGGTGGGCGTTAAAATCGCCAAGAATCACGATCTCTGCGGATGGGACCTGTTGTAGCACGGAGTCTGCAGCCATTTGGACGTGGTCGAAGAGTCGGTTTGTGTCGGCATTGCCGCTATGGGACCTATAGAGGCACCCGTAGACGCGGGGATGGTCGCCGCTGTCTACGCGTAGCCATAGGATGGACAGGTCCTTACATTCAAGACTGCCGAGGCGTCGAAAACAGATGTCCTCTCTGACGTACACGCAAACTCCAGCCCGGGGCACAAACGAGTGTTCTAATTTGTACTCCGGGTAGGAGAGATACGAAGTATCAGCCGGAGAGGACACCTGTGTCTCGGTTAGAAAGAGCAAGGCCGGCTTAGCTATCTCCAGATGGTAGTGGACGGCGTTAAGGTTTGAATGAAGTTCCCTGATATTGCAGAAATCCACGGAAAGCGTAGCAGGGGTTGCCTTTGTCTTCTTGCTCCGCTTGCCCCGAGCAGGTTTCGTCTTGAGCGGAATTTCGCCCCACCCAGAATACGCGGGGCAGCCTGAGCACCCACGCCCAGGAGTGGAGTAGTTTGGTCGTGGATGCTCAGCGAGGGATTCTCCAGGGGTGCTGGTACCCTCCTGGGGTAGTCTTCTCTTCAATTCCGCTACCATGTTGATGGGGGAGGGGGGGGGGGGGGGGGGAATAGGGCCTCCTGCCACCTGCACTCACCAAGCGGTAAACCTATACTTCACGCTGGTATTCTGT